TCTTTTGGCTCGCAAAGGGTGTGTTGCCCCTGAGTCCAGTAAGCCCTTGTTCACCATTGGGCACAACTTGGAGATGCGAAAGGGTCGCATAGAAGCCTTCTTGAGCTCATCCAGCTGCTTCTGTAGGCCCAAGATCCTTTCTTGTGCGTCCTCCCCTTTCTGTCTCTTTTCTTTGACATCTCCTTCATTCATTGATTTGAGCATCCGACTTGCTTCATCCAGCAACGACTTCATAGTTTCTTCTCCTCCATTACCCGTGGGCCTCAGACTGCTCCTCGGACTTTTCAGGAGATGTTGTAGCGGACTTCACATCCTTCTCTGGGGTCTTGGAACCAAACTTTGCTGCCTTCGGCTTGGACTCCTCTGTGGTCGGACAGGCTGTGGCCATATGGTCCTTTCCTCCACATGTCCAACACCTTCTTTCTCCATCCAACTGGTGTCCAAAAGGACATCCTCTACCTCTTCGGCAACCTGAGTCTGTGAGGTAAAACCTACATGGTTTCCTCCTCCCTTCAAACTCCTCTTGAGGCTTCCCCTTCGGCCTGGTCCTTTCTTCAGGCTTGCTTCCCGAGGCTTCCTCAAACTTCTTCACCTTTGGCTGGCTCTCTGCCATCACTTCCTTCCTTTTTGCCTGCTGTCCCATCTGCTCCAGCTCTGCAAGAAGGTGTTCGCTGTACTGAGTCACTGTCTCCAACGTTGGAACTGTCTCCACCAACAATGAGCTCTTGACCAACGACAAGCGGAAGTTGAGATCTGGGTAACTGGAAACAATTTTCCTCACCAAACGTCCCAATCCCTTCATCAAAATTGAACTGTCTGGAATTGAAACTCCAACTTCAAGGGCCCGGCGCTTCCGTCTCATCCAACGTCTCAGCTGTTGGATGGCTGAACCCACGGTTGCAGCTTCCATAGGTGCTTCCAGCGCCGTCAAAATAGCGCTTCTCTCTGTCAGCCCTCCAGGTTGAAACTGCAGCATCGCACGAGGAACAAAATGCCCAAAGCTGTGATGGACTTCGCCGCAATCACCTCCTCTTTCATCGTCTGCGGCAACGCATTCAAGAGCAAGGACGAAGCCCTTCTTTCCAGCCGGGACCACTTCTTCTGCTGCAACTCTGGTGTCGGCCTTGGTGTGCTCGTCAACCTCTCAATTGGCGATAGCTTCATGTGGTGATCATACCAAGTCCTCGCTGTTGAGAGGGTCAAGTCCCACCACATCTCACTCGTTGAGCTCAAGTCTGCCATATGAGGATGCAGACATATCACCCAATCACCAAAATCGATGGGCGCCGTCTCCGGATTCCATTCAGCAAGTTTTGGGAGATCCGCCACATAGCGCACCACTTCAATCTCATCACCTTTTCCTTCCTCCTTGGAGATCACAATCTGTTTCTGAAGCTCCTGCATGCCCTCCATCAACTTGAGCATGATCCTCATGGACTGCTTGTCAACGCTCTCCTTTGGCCTGCTTGCTCTTTGCGGCTCCTCAGGAGACGAATCGCTCTCTGACTGTTCTTGCCGGGCTTCTGCCCCATCCTCCTGAGAAGATCTGTCTTGCCGGGCCTCTGCCCCTTCCTCCTTAGAAGGTGTTCCTTGCCGGGCACCTGCCCCTTCCTCCTTGGAAGGTCTTTCTTGCCGGGACTCTGCCCCTTCCTCCTTTTTTAACATGCTGGCTGCTTTGTCATCTGGTGTGGTAAACCTCGACGATCCCTTCTTTTCCAAGGCTTCCAACAACTCTTGACGCTCTTGACGAAGTCTTTGGTTTTCATGCTGTGCCGCACGCAACTGAACCCCTAGATGTTCTATGCCATGCTCAACTTGCATTCTCCACATGTAATCCCTTTGCCTCGCCTCATGTTCACCTTGCTGAGATCCTACTGATTGAAGCAACCCTGTGAACCAACCTGGAACTGCTTGTCGCTCAGCTCCCCCGTGTCCATGTTCTCCAACCGCAGGACCATTCCATGAAGCCGCAGGCGATGCAAAAGGCATCTGGTGGATCTCATGAAGTTTCACCGTCTGCTCTGGTGAAAAAAGTGGCAACATACTTTGGACCTGTCCCTCTGGTGTCACAAAGGAATGGGGACCTAGTGAAACTGGCTGTCCACTGGGTGTTGCCATCTCTTGACACTTCTCTGGTTCTATTTCTTTTGGGGTTCCTTTTTGGCCTCTGACTGAACCCTCCTTTGACTTCTGACCCTGGCTAACTGGTTCTGTGGCTGCCCTTGGTGACCCAGAGCCCTTTGCAGCGTCTGACCCTCGCCCTTTCTCCAACCCATCCGGTGTCCTCAAGGCCAAGGCTTGAGAAGCTGGTACAAGTTCTTGTCCAACCAGTTCCAGGCCTCTCTCAGCTGCATCTCCTCTCGCCCCAAGCGCCTGTGCTGCATCGCCTTCAGCTCCCGAGCCGCCATCTGCCGATCACCAGCTGCCGCCGCTTGCACCGCGCCAGCCGCTGCCATCTGCTCAGCGCCAGCTGCCGCCATCTGCTCAGCGCCAGCTGCCATCATCTGCTCAGCGCCAGATCCATCGACAGCGCCGCCATCCGGTCTACGTCTACGCATCATGTCAGAAGTCTTTGGGGGTTTACACAAGCTCCTTGGGCTCATAACCTGTGTTTCCTGAAGCCTCCCAATGCCAACAAGTGAACCGTCCTGGAACCCTGAACAGCAACTGAGATCTCGACCCCAACCGGAAAAAGAATGTTTCAACCCAAAAAACAAAACCAAGTTTCCCCAAAACTCCAAGCAGCCACCTCGCTGCCAGCTGACGCACCTTTGTGCCACTTGACATCTAAAGGGCTTCGGTTCGGCCCAGATGCAGGTTCTTCAAGATTCCTAGACTACACCCGGAGGGTAGTAGTCTGGACTACACCCGTTGGGTAGTAGTCAAAGCAAAAGTGGAAGTATTTCCATTTGAGAATTGGATAAATAGGGATGCATGAAATTCTCACACGCAATTATTATTACTATTTAAATTATTAATACTATTTAAATTATTTTTATTATTGCTATTATTGTTTTTATTATTATTACTATTATTACTATTATTATTACTATTATTATTATTATATCACCCCCAACTTACACCACTATTCCATAATTCATCAAAACGGGCATTTATTCATGGCAGTGGGGATCAAGTAGGAAGAAAACATAAGAATACACCTTTTTTGATCAAACTTTGAGATATTATATATATATTTCCCAAATCATCCCAGTGTTGCCCCACAAAATCCGGCAATTTCCACGGTGAGACTGCAGTGAAGTCCAAAATAAATTTGCCCGAATATTACTGGCTTTACGATTTGCAACTTACAACTACGAATATACAAATGGTCTATATAAGTATCTTTGGTCAATCTCGTATCATGGTCTTTACAGAGACTATCATAGTCTAGTATTACATAGTAGAATATCGTATCATGGTCTATCTGGATGCTGTTTGACTGTATTTATATATACTTTATATTTTTGTAGCTCCAAATTGGCAGGCTGACTGTGCAATCAAGGCTATGGCAATGGATCATGGCTTGAGATTGCTATGTTCAGTGGGAAAATTATCAATCAGTACCTCTGGTAATTTAACATAGCTATTGAACATGGCCATAAAAATAGTGAGTTTTCCCATTAAAAATGGTGATTTTCCATAGTTATGTAAACTTTTGCCGAGGGTATCTCAAATTCCAAGTTTAGATTGCCGAAAAATGAGTCAAGCAAGTGGATCCGCGAAAAATCGAATCATTTTTTTACTCAAAATGGTAGATTTAAACGAGCTGACCAACCATATGCAACACGTAAGCAAACACGTTTACAATCTCATCATGCCCCATGGACGCATATCGCTGGACATTGGGGTCCGATTTGTTTTCAGGCATTCCTACATTCTTTGTGTGTGTGTCAAAAAGTTAATGTGGTAAAATCAATGCCACAAACCATCCCCAACATGACCATCAAATACCATAATTTATGGGTGTTATAAACCATTCCCCAATGGTAGGTTTATGGCAGCCAGGCTTTACCACACACCATGGCAGTCTCCGAATCTCCCACATGATGTGAAATCTGAACCGCAACGGGGTGATGGTTTACCCACAACGGGACCGAGATGATTCCTGACGATGGATAGAGCGCCAGCTTGGGCCACATCTTGTTTCGCAAGTCGATGGCCAGCGGCTGAAACAGTCGGAAAAGCGGCTGTCGCGAATCAAATCTGTGCTCGGCTGTCAGCAAAGCTTGTCAAAATGCGACTGAAGCCCACAGCAAAGCAGCCATGACAGCCATCTTTCTTCTGCTTCGCTGCAAAAGCCTCAAGCTCAAGGAAAACAAGAAAAAACGAATAGCCTGTCACAGTCCCTCTGACACTTCCCAAACATTCGTGGGCAGGCTCCCACCACACCAGTCTTTGGATACCCATGCACTACGCAATTTGTTCCTCCTGAGATTCAAAGATCTACTGGGACGTTTGACCAATGATTTAGCCGCATTTCATGTTCTTTCATGTTCTTTCCATCTTCGTGTGCTAAATCCTCATCGTCTTGATTCTCTGTTGCTGAAGTCCCCATCGTGCCAGTCAACTCTCCTAGTTTGCCGGCAAAATCCCTTTGTTCTGAAAAGACGCACTCCCCACCTTCCTTCCTTAAAATATCATCAAGACTTCAGCCAGTCAAATCCATGTTTCATCATTTTTCATTGCTACTTTTTTCACACACATTGTTTACCCTCTGGTGCTAAAGAGAAAATGGCCCAGTCGAGATCATTGATTGACCCATTGATAGCATGGTCCGCATGGTGATGTTCCAGTTCGTCATGTAAACGTTTACCACTTGGTGGCTCATCCCACTTAGTAAGTGGGTTATAACCGTTATAACCCCAGTTATAAGTGGATTAACCCTACTTATCCCATTTATAATTGGTTTTTCACCCACTTACGAGCCGTGGGATGAGCCACCAAGTGGTAAACGTTTACCGTCGGACCGTCCCAACGAACTGCTGCGGACGCCTCGCCTGGAGATGAACGCTCCAATCGCCCTCGTAGTCTGTGCGCCGGGCGCAGACCTGGAGACTGGAGAGAATGACCGATCTGCGCAACCAGGAGATACTACTGGGATCTACTGGGGATAATGGGATGATACCCTCTGGTAAACTAACATAACTATGGAAAATCACCATTTTTAATGGGAAAACTCACTATAAATGGCCATTTTCAATAGCTATGTTAAATTACCAAAGGGTAGATGATTAATAATGGTTCATGATAGATAATCATTATTAAATATACTTGGGGATGATATCATCATTAATTATCATTGGGGATTAATTATCTACCTGGAAATATAAAATGATTATATAATAATGGTTAATGATAGATCATCAATGGTGATAATGCAAATTTTTGATGGGGATACTCATTTCCCATTGCTTTTTGTTAAATAACCAGATGGGAATATCATGTAATATCTATAATAATAGTCATGAATATTCTAATGATATGAATGGGAGAATATGAACTATACTACTGGTGATAATGGGATGATATGGAGGTTTCTATAAATGGACGTACCCTTAAATCATCCATTTTAATCCGTCCATTTTGTGATACCCCCATTGATGGAAACCACATTATTTCATGGCTCAAAATTACTCATAATCATGGTTAAGTTGGTTAAGAATGATGAAAATAATGGTGAACTCTGGATGAATAATGGACAATTGGTATCCCTTCTGGTAAAAAAATCCGAAATTACGAGCTGGAAGCTATGGCCCATTGGCCCATGGATACACATGATGATGTGCCCCTCAAACATGGTGAAAAAACCAGTGGCGATGTGACAAATAATCAGAGGCTAATGTTTTTTAGTATCTAAATGTATGCGTACAGGATGGGGCCCCAGTTCGTTAGCTAAGTTGGTGAACATAACTATAATGACAATAGTGTATGATACGCAAATAACTAGACGTGTTTAGATGGGGTTACAAACCAACAAACATAACTGGGGGCGCCCATCCTGTAGAATAATTATGAGTAATAGCAAATATTATTAAAATATATCAAAATTATAACCACTAAGAGTGATACATACAATGCATGTGTGACATGAATAAAGGGTATGCCAAATATGGAGTGCACAGTCAATCTAAGTTAATCTGTTAATTTAACATCATGTATTTGCAATGACTCAGCCACACAAAGCATATGCAATGTAGGAAGCATTCCAGTTATAGTTTGGTTCATGTTGCACCATATCCACTGTCTGAACAAGAAACAGCTACTACCGTACGAACTCGAGATGGATCCCTTGCTGTTGGATCTGTTGGTCCAAAGCCCCCGGAGAACATCCCCAAATTTGAAGTCTGGTTGGTGGTTTTAACCATCTTGAAAAATGATGGAGTTCGTCAATGGGAAGGATGACATCCCGTGTATGAAATGGAAAATAAGCCATTCATGTTCCAGTCACTAGAAGTGATGGATGTTCATGAACCAGTTCATAGGTGGATAACCAACTGGTTCAGAAACAGAAGAGCTTTCAGATGGAGCCATCCCCACATGGGGCCAGAATCACCATTGAAGTTACGCATTCATTTTCTCTACACCACAATCAAACATGGCAATGGAACATTCCCCATAAATGGAGGTTTATAGGTGGCAAAACTATTTATTTTTATGGACTGTTCTTCCATTGCCACGTTTGATTACCGGAGGGTACATATCCCATGAACAATCCCAGCATAATTATCCCACCATTGCATTTTCCCATGTTTGACACAGACATTGGCACCTTGCCGTTCTGTTGGTAGATCTGAAAGGTGTCCGGTTTATTCCCAACATAGGACACGTGTCGAGGACACCTCACAGGACCTCCGCAACGTGGCAACGTGGCAGCAAAAATCGGGGGATTTGGCGGTTTTTTTCTGAAGGAAAACGGGGATTTACCTCCAAGAAGATGGGAAAAAGGTAAGTTGCTACTATTTTTTCGTAGGCTTTGACTTTTGTACAGTATCTTTTTTTGGGGTTGCTGTGAACAAAATCTTTGGGATAGAACATGATATAACATGATATAACATGATAGAACTGATTCAATCAATGGAGGTTGAAAACATGATAAGAATTGGGGATGCATGGGAAGTCAAAAACCCATCCGAAAAGGACAGAAACCCCAGAGAATTGCATCCCAGAGAAAAAGGACAGAAGTCCTTATCATTTTTCTCGACCCAGGAAACAATGGAACCGTTGCCAATGGAACCGTTGCCAATGGAACCATTGATGGAATTGAAATGCCATAGCTCAGTGGCTGGCTACGGCTCATATTGCCATGGCTCGGGTGGCTCAGCTGGCAGTCGAGGCAAGCAGCTCAGCAGCAAGTTCTGCAGCTGTCTCGCCAGCTCCTCTGCACATGTCATAGATGCAATCCGACAAGAAATCCGTGAAGGTGGCCTCCGCGATTGCATGGGAACCCATTGCCCTCAAATGTTTGGAGCAGGTCTTTTCAAACTCCTTCTCCTCTTGGCTGTTGCACTCCTGGAGCTTGCTCATGTCGGCTTGAATCAACATCAACTCATCCACGCGGTGGAGGTAGGCAGCTGCTTCGTCACTTCCTCCGAGGTCCTGCCACTTCTTTGCCGCCTTAAACTCCGAATCTGTGGATGTTGATGTTTGCAAGGTAGACAACGCCTTGCGAGCCATCTTGACCTCCCCCTCGACCTGTTTCATATCGCTCCTCGGGACAATCAATCAGAAAATGACCCATCAATGTGCTCATGTTTCTTGACTCTGGAATTGAAAATGCACATGTGCATTCGATCAAACACTTACATCCAGTCCAAATAAAAACCATAAAACACATTCAAACACCTGATACCTCGCAGTGACAACTCGCGCCTGCGTTCCATGGTGAGATGAAGGTTGAGGTTGTGATTCGGTCTGCAGCTCAACCTCAGCACGGCGATGTCTGTCTTGCCGACTTTTGTCTTCATGTTCATGTGCACCTGATTGTGAAACTTGGCACCGTTTGTCGTGACCAAGTTGAAAGTCGTTACATCATTTCCGGCCGCATCCAGGGAGATGAGTTCAGAGTCGGAACTCTTCACTGCAATCCACTCCTGGTGTCCTTTCCGGGCTCTCCACTCACATTTCTGTGAGGTAATTTCCAGCATTTTGTGGGATCCACCAGATATGTCCACGAGCAACAAGCCTTTGGTAAAAGACTGATGCCCGGAATAATGTGCGTAAATTTGCCATTCCACTGGGGTTTTGACTTCTGATTCTCCCCCAGAGAATGGCAACTCTGTCTCCATGGCAAGATGCCATAACAAAAATGTGCCTTGGCTCAGGAGAGTGTAGCTTCTGCCGTCCAACGTCTTGATGTGTGGGTCCCCGATGGCCTCGGCAGAGATCTGCTTTGTCTGCCTGAACTGGTACATGTTCCACCAGTGGTAATCTCCGGGCATCATTTCCGGTGACAGGGCCGTGTCCTCGCAACAAAAGCACATTGTGCGTCCCGGGAACTTGCCAGAAGCAACCACTGAATAACCCCGACCTTGGCAGTGAGCGATGCACGGGTCAAGAGCTACATCGGGGCCACGTGGGAGAACCCTGCTCTTACAGAAACAACCCTGGCAGAACTCACTCCAACCCACGGGCAGCGAAAGCCCGTCGGAAAGGTTCTGGCGGTTCTGCCCCGCCATCGTCTGCAGCAAGCATGACGAATCAGGCCCTTTGGCTGCTACACTGGAAGTCCACGAAGCAAGCACGGACAGCAAAAGAGCCATGGGTGACATTCTGAATGAAATTTTATTGCGGGAACTTTCTGTACGGGAAAGATTCGATCACAAGTTTTCAATGGCTTTGAGCACAATTGGCTGCTGGGCAAATGAAGCATCCATAGCTATACGTGTCAAGGTCGAAGCTCGTCGCGGGAATCATCCCACCTATATGAATTCTTAGGACATCATGATCCAAACCAGCCGTTTGGATGGACATCCCATCCAAATGCTCAAAAAAACACCATGAATCACATTGTATCTTAAACTGCTCTCGAATCTCGACCACATTTCTGCTGCCTCCCCCATCACAAAAGTGAGCTGCGTGGAACCCCCACCTCTGGTTGCAACGCATTTGGTCTTGTAGCCATAACTGGTTCCAATGTGAACCTCCTGTGGTCGGAGAGTGGGTGGTGAATCATGTAGAGATGGGGCCCTACCTCGATGCTGGATATACATATACATACGTCATGTACTGTATATGTATAATCAATTGTAATCATATCATATACATAATGTATCTTCATGTCTGCTATCACATGTTACATATTACCGGATACCATACGCAATCCGAAAAATACTTCGTATCTAGATAAGGCATCACTTGGCTGGCTATTTTGAGATGGATGAATCTGCATCAGATTTCGCATCTGAAAACGTGCCATTCGTTGCACTGCTTGGTGGTGCAATGTGCACATCTTGAAAAATGATGGAGTTCGTCAGTTGGGAAGGATGACATCCCCATATATTATGGGAAAATAGAAACTGTTTGAAACCACCAACCAGATATTGTGGAATACTAAACTTGGCAATGCTGATTTGTCAGAAGCCAAAAGGATCTAAAAGGGATCTTGGCAACACTGGCTCTCAGTCTGCATAGAAATAGCAGGCCGAATGCAAGCAAATAAGACAACAAGGCACAAGGTACAAGATCACATCTTCACAAGCCTGACATCAAGAAAAAAACATCTTGCAAGCGGCACCACTTTGGATCGCCTGTCATTTGTTGTCTACTCTGGGCCAAAGGTCATCTGGTCGTTGCTTTCAGTCGGAGAAGTTCATCCCAAAAAAAACAAAGAGCTGAAGGATGAATAACAAGGAAGAGTAAGTTCATTCCCAAAAAATTGCTTCATCCCGTCGTTTCTTTTGTGTCTTTTTTTCTAACCATCTCTGGCCTGAAGGGCAGCATCTGTCAAACTCAGCAGGACCGAAACCAGCCAGGCATGAAGCCGCGCCATGGCCCGTGGCGATGGAAAAGATGAAGAAAATGGAGATGGGTCACCGATGCTTTTCGCTGTGGCTCAGCTGTCAAGAGTTGCAAACGTTGCAAACCAGTGAGTTATGTTTCCCAAATTTAGGTACATTGATACAATATAAATTGCACTAAGTATCTTTCCAGTGTGGCAGTTAACACCAATGGCTGCTCCTGTCTTGCTGCAGAAAACTATGATCTAGAGCTGAAGGGAATATCCTGAGGTCCGCCGAAAACATTGGTTTCAAGGTATTTAGAAACGGGCAAGATTTTGGGGGTTCCTAACATGGGGGTACCCCCAAATCATCCATTTATAAATGGATTTTCCATGAAATAACCATCCATTTTGGAGGTACCACAATTTATGGAAACCCTACATTTTGGGAAAAGTTGAAACAAATAGAGACATGTCCTTTTTATGCGGGAATCACACGGCTGGAGAGCATAGTATGCTCGTCAAGTGGAATGTTTCAACACTGACAAATCCAACATAAACCATGCTTACTGTAAATCACCTAAACAAATCGACATGTTGCATCAATGGAAGCAGTCCCATGAAAAGACCTTCACAAATTCTGCTAATTAGATTGAAAAAGTCCAAAGAAGGGAGGCTTCCTCAGGTGCCATCGATTTTGGGTGTTCTGGGGATCCGACCAAAAATCTGAGCACCCATTGTGCATGGACCCCCAACATCGAGGGTGCTAAAATTGGCAAGAAATCCCAATTCCTCCCCATGATTGTCCGCCTTTTTATGACAAACTTAATGTATACCCTCTTGTAAACTAACATAACTATGGAAAATCACCACTTTAATGGTTAAATCAACTATAAGTAGGTCATGCTCAATAGTTATGTTAATTTTCCAGAGGGTAATTCTGAAGTTCCCAACCTGCACATCCCCACATGCCTTTGCAACTTGCTGTGTTGCAATTTGGAGTCACACCAAATCTTCCATCTTGACACAATTTTGGCCACGTTTTAGATATTTCTATAGGATCTCAAACCATCCAATCTGAAGGGCCAGGGGCAAGACTCTTTCTTGATCTTTCCACGACTTCACAATTCACAGTGGGATGATCTTCCGCCATTCGCGCTGCGCCTTTTTGCCACCATCTCTGGGCAAAAACACGAGGTCTTTGCTCAGCCCGATTTCGCCGGAGACCTCATCAAATTGGCCAAATGTCAGCGTGAGCAAAACGGCCGGGAGGCACTTTGGGTCTCGCCAAATGGGGACATCAATGGTAACAGCTGATGGTCAGTATCAACACGATGGGGAGTTCAGTTTGGGTAAATTCGACTGCCAACTCTCAATATAGTGACCCTTGAGCCAAGGTTGACCCCGTGGATACGCTCACCTTTCCAAGATGGCGTGCCAGGCAGCGCCTTGAAATACCCCGGAGCTGCGCCAAGCGGGCTATGGAAAATGCTGATTTAATGCTATTTAATGGGGATTTAACCATCAACAATAGGGATTTCATGGGATGTATATGTATATTATATTATTATCTGTTATATATATATATATATGTAATTTGATATAAATATATATATATATATAAATGGGGCAGAGATACTTCAAAAAAATGTGGAAAACCCATGGGGAACGCCCATCGGAAAATGATCTACAAATGGTGGGTAACCTCCACGGGGCGTCTTCAAGATGTTCAATCCGATGCTGGGAAATGTGGAAAAAATGGAGAGGCATTGGGATAGAATTGCCGGGATACCATTATTATTTTATTATATTTTACTATATATTATATTTTTACATTACATTATATTATATTATATGTGTATATATATATGTGTGTATCTATGTATCTATGTATCTATGTATCCATGTATCTATGTATCTATGTATCTATGTATCTATGTATCCATGTATGCATCTATGTATCTCTGTATCTATGTATCTATGTATGTATGTATGCATGCATGTATGTATGTATGTTTATATATACCATAGAAGTGGAGGTTACAAAATGAGATGAGAAGCCGGGGAAATGTCAAGTCCTTGCCTTGAAAAAGGCATTGTTCCTACTAATCAGCATGCATGGCTTCAACGAGTTGACCAACTGACCCAGCCAGGTTAGGCGGCCACCGGCCACAATCTTGGGACCCGATGAAGTTGAGATCAACTCACATCAGCTACTGGGGGAGCTTCCCAGCTACGTTTTTTGGTATCACCTGGTGATGAAGATCTATCTTTGGTGGATTTTTCATCGATCATGTGAACAATGACTAAAAATACACACCACAAAAAGAACATACCACGAAATGATAGGTTTTTCTGGTTGAAATCCTACGCACTTTGGGAAATCGTATAATAACAGACCACAAACGAAAGGGATACTGTAAGGGGAATCAAGCCGTCATGGCTTCGATTCATGCGTGCATCGGATATCATATCAATCATATCCCCCAAAAAATGATCAATGGCCATTTCAGGAACCGATTGATTGGAGGTACCTACCATATCTACACTTATGGTCTTATATGGTACTAACGTACCTCCATATTAGGATCCTGAAATTCCCATTGAAATGATGGCTTGCCTTACTTTCACCACAACATCCCATAACTAACCATCACATCCCGAATCAATGGTGCTGAAAAACCCACTGTTTCGTGCTGCCGCATAGCCTCGGATTTCCAGTAACCCACGATAACTTCGGACATCTTGGGATAGGTCAAAACCTATTGTAGGTTTATTATAATAGCAATATAATTTAATATTATAATATAGGTTTATTTATTGCTATAAACTATTATTATCATTAGTGCTATTGTTATTGTTATTACTATCATTATTATAATTGTTATTCGTGTTATTATTATTACCATACTTGGGGGAATAATCATCCATTAACCAGCTATTTGAGGCTACCATCCGGATACCAGGTTTTTGACCCATCATCTATCCTCCACGGTGACTCGTCGACCAGCGGCTTGTAAATCAAGATGTTGCACGCGACCTGCCGTTCCAGCGGGTTTTTCCGTCGTCGCGGGTTTTTCCAGCGGGTTTTTCCGTCGACGTTTTTACGTTGCTTGGGAAAATCTACATATAAAATCGACGAGACACCAGAAAATCTATAGGAAATCAATGAACATCAATAACCTATAGGAAAATCAAATAATCAATAAAATATATTAAAATATCATATAGGACAATCTATAGGAAAATCTAGAGGGGTATACTGTTGGAAAATCTATGGAAAAATCAATGAAAATAAATAATCTCGGAAAATTGTAGTGCTTTCTATAAGCACAATTGATCATAATTGTGTTTTTTTCTCGTTCATCCAAGTCTGACAAAAGTTTGCAGGGATTCCAAGATGTGTGTGGGCCTTGAAGCGACCAAGATATCGAATTCGCCGAATTCGCAGCAACAACAAACTGGACTTTTCAAGCGAAAAAAACTGGATTCTACCCTGGAACTTCCATTTAAAATGCTGAGAAATATAATAGAAATATTATATATATATAGAAATACTGGATTCTCATGAGTTCTAGCCAAGAAACTGTACATTAAATCAATAATATGGCTTCAAATATACTTCTATGGTTAAAAAATCACCATGTTTGCTGGTAAAATCACCATGTTTGATGATAAAAAAGGTTAGATCTGCCCCAAAAAATGGCCTAAGCTTCGAAAAACATCCAGGCTGGTGACCTTAAGCTCCACCTGCTCCACCAGCTGCTGTAGTTTCTCCTTAGGATTGTCCAAAAAGATGGGGATTTCCGATTTCACCAAGAGAAACATAGAAAAACATAGGAAAAAAACAGAAAATCTAGGGATTTCCATGGATTTCCATGGATTTCCATGGGATTACGGATGGTCAAATGAGTCAAATGGTGATATGAATGGTGATTGAAATGGGATAAACCAAGCATTTCATGGGATTTGACGAAGAAAAATCGCGATATCATGGGAATGTACTCGGGGTAATCAAGAATCACCAACCGTAAGCAACCCTTTTAAATAGTGGATATAATGGATTTGAACCAAGCATTTCACGGAGATCATGGTGACATGGGGCTGAATGATCAAAAAACAGATTCCAGTCCTTTTCGGGGAACATTCATAACTCCCTGCTGGGATTCACCGAAGGTACCAGGATTTTGACTCACAGCCATATTAGGGGATATAGCCGAATGAACTATACCTCATAAGTCCCCAATGATGACTCTGTTATCAAACATGAGCTGGAAATTTCCCCATTTAGTTCGATGTTGTTCCTCAGTTTTCCCGTTAAACATCCATGAAACTTTGGGGATTTCCCAGCTAGCCGTGCTTTTTGCCGAAGGGTATAATTATGACCGGTCGGAGCCAGCTGGACGTTTGCTTCCTGACTTCGAATTTCCAGTGTGATGACTCAGTGTTCCTCTGGCAGCTCCATGGCTAGCTGGAAAATCCACTAGCCATAATTAGTTCCATGATTGTACTATTTCAATGCACATTCTTGGTGCAAATTGTCCAGCTGCCATGTTTGATTGCTCAGGGTGGATTATTGACTCTAACCCATTGACATCGAGAAATTGTTTAATGTGGTTAAAACACAAATAAACCACCCATTTGGGAATGGCTTATATCACCTACAAAAAGGGTGATTTGGGGGATGGTTTATTATTGTTTTAACCACATTATCAAGGTTTGTATAACTCAGTTGAATGGAGCAATTCTCGACCCATCAATGGATTAAGAATGCCTCTATGGAACTGAGTCCTACGAGCCATTATTTCTATGATCCTATTGATTGTAATAGGAGTGAAGTGAGTTTAACCATTAGTGTTTTGTATAGAATAACTATATATATATATATCTCATTAATAGTGTGTAAATGATTCCCGTATGTTTTCACCCGTAATAGCCACAATGGGGGATTATACATATACCTTGGTGGTCGAAAGCTGAATAATTTTTGGTCTGAACCAAAAACCTGTGAACGACCAAAAACCAGGGATATGGCCAATTTGAAGACAATTTGGGAGTTTGTCACATTGTGACATGCTGCCTCTGCTCAAGCAAAACTGCTGTATGGAGGCAGGATTCCACCATATCTCGATGTTCCTTTAAAGCCAGTATGCAACTCGATTGACTTTGAACATGTATTATCCTACCATTAAGAAAAATGAATGAAATTCCATTTCTAGAGCCATTGAAATAGCAGGATCCCCACATCTGGGCATATATGTTAAATGACCCAGTACCCTCCAGAAGTTCAGAAGCGCCGGATGCAGCAACTCGCTGTGGCTGCGGTGGCTCGGCAATGCCTCCAAGAGACCTCCAGGTGGGCAGCCCGCACCGTTGATGGTCGAGCAGGGACATATTTCCACATGTTTTTGTTTCTATCTCAAAGATCTTGAAGATTCAAACGGTTTGCTGTCAAAATTCCAACTGGCATACCTTTGAACTGCTGTAAAAAAATATCTTAGTTCCAGCTCAGAATCCTACCGAGAGTGATACCGGAATCATCCTTGGAGTCCAACAGACATTTTGATGGAAGAACTTTCGCCTGTGCTTCTGAAGCATTGTTTTGCTAGCCCTTGCGTTGGGAACCACACCCTGCCACAGCAATGCCGTGGCGATCCTTTGCCGATGGCCCTGAGTGTGAAGATCCAAAGCTCATCGCTAGGCGATGGGATGATGTTGAGGAGATCCGTGACCGGGCTAAGGATAAACAAAAGTTAGTCCAACTTGTCAAGGACGAAGATGGGAATGAAGTGGCCTGGCCAACGGGTGGGGGCCGATCCAATAGAAATCATCACAAAAATGGTGTCGGAGCACTACACGCTTCACCGAAATGATTTCCAAGAGTACTTCACTTTTCAGATCAAGGGTTGGATTGCCAATGATGCATGGGCGATCAGAAAGATTGTGAGCAAGTTGCGCAACAAGATCACCAAACATGATACCATGAGGGCTGCTTGGAGCCAAGTTTTAACAACTTTTAGTTTCCTATCTGCCCCCAAACATTCGAGGTCCGAAGGTTGCCTTCCCCCACTGATAACTTGGTTTCTATTCTGTATTTTCAGGTTTCAGCTGGGGTTAGCTATTAAACCCAAGTAGACTGATAAACCTATGGGGCAAAAACAATACCGTTAAGCCAGCGACCCAAACTCCCTTTTGACTCGGGCCGCAATGCTGTAATGCATACTATGATACATGGGTTTTATGGTGGAGTGCAATTACACCCCCCTCAGGTGAGCCGGTCACGGCAAGGCTGCCCATTTACCAGGGCGAGGTCTTTAAGACCTGCCTTACCGCTCCTGGCCCTTTTGCACGACCTGAGGAAAACCCAAACAGCGGCTATGATACAAAAACCGATCGTCGATGCAAGCAGTTTCACAACTTATCCCTCTTCCCACTCAACTCGGCCATGCCTGATAACTTTCTCATACCAGCGCCCGTGCCACTTCTGCCATTCTCCAGTGTAACGGCGATCTTCGTGGGACTGACTTTGCTGAGGGCGGTTGATCCACTGGCTTGCAGACGTTGATGATGAAGCTACCTCTATGGTGGATGTTCGGGCAACCGGTTTGGCGGTGCCTTTCTTGGAGGGACCTTGGCCGTACGCACCAGTCTGCTCAGCTTTGCGCTTGGCCTCGTTCTGTTCGCGAGCCCTGTCAGACTGTTTCTTCTTCTCCGCAGCGTTCTGCTTGTACAGCTCCTCGTTTTGTCCCTTAATCCACCTCAAATGCCGTTCAGCATCATGAACAGCGATGTTGTCAACGCCAGTACAAGACAACAAAAGATTGTGCTGGGGATTCCGGTTCAGGTAGTCGATGTACTCTTCCTCGGAGTAGATTTCCGTCCGGTACATGTAGAACCATGGCTGGTCGATGTACCTGAACGACTTCGGGACGTCAAGACGGCTCGCCAGATCCAAGTAAACCAGCCTCATCGCGTTGTGCTCCAGCTGAGATTGCTCGGAAACACCCATCTTGACCTGAGCCTTGGTACGACCTGGCTTTGGCAGATGTGCAGACTTGAGGAGGTCGTACCGTTCACAATCGTACTCGTTCTCCCCCTCGTTCAGCACGCTCTCTGCGAATGTGGCGTCCTGGGCAAACCTGTCAGCCACAGACACATAGCCCAAGCTCAAGGCACGGTCGAATCGACTCTTCGCCCTTGCCAATAAACTGGCTTCAGGACTAGAGCTTCCTCTTGCCTGGTCGTCCAACAAACCCAAAGATTCAAGCTGACTGTGTGTGATGCTCTGCAGGTACTCGCCACGAAAGTCATAGTACAAGCCCAGCTTGTGAAGGGCGGCCTTCCTTCGTTCTGCAATCTTGGTGCGGTCGGCCTTGTTCACCCCTTCGAGCATCAATCCACACACATCGCATTCAATCTGTCCCTTGAAAGTCTGTGCAAAACATCTTGAACATTGCGTGACTTCAATCTTGACTGGCACCGGCTTCTTGTCCTCCTTCTTTTCCTCTTTCTTCGAAGGTTGGTCATCGCCTTTAGGGCGAGACTTCTGCTTTGGCACCAGTGACTTGGATGTTGATGCCGGCGTCTTTGTGGGTGACCCTGCAACTGGAGCTTTTGGATCTTTCTGTACTGCCTTTGGCGGTGCAACTTTTGATACAGGCTCCAAGAAGGCCGCAGCTGATGATGCCGCAGGCACAGCTGCGGGCACGCTTGTCAGGGCTGCCTTCTTCTTTGCAGGTTCTTCCTTTGCTGCTGCATCAACTTCTGAGGTCACAGCTTTTGGAACTTCTGGTGCATGAGGTGCAGAAGTCCCTTCCTTCGGTGATGGTTTTGGAGGTACTTTCGGCGGTGTCTTTGGGCTTTCAACCTTTGCTGCAGGAGGCTTCGGAGCTTCGCCTTTCGGAGGAGGGGGCAACAATCTGCTGCTTGCATATCCAGGCATACCGGCAAGTTGGGCCACATTTGGTGGCGGAGGCTTCACCTTTCCTGGGAAAAATGCTGTTGCAGTGGGCGCGCCAGTTGAGGCGGCCGGAGACTTGGAACCAGCCCGTTTTGATGCCTTGGCCTCAAAGGTCTCGACAAGCTGTTGAACTCCAACTTCTCCCCCACTGCTTGCTGCAGACTGTGCGACCTCCTGCTGGCGACGATACAAATTCACCTTCTTGGCAGTGTCATCGACAGAAATAATGTATTGCGGCGGCACGACGTCACTTGTAAGAATGCCGTCGGAGGCTGTCCTGAAAAACACAATTCCAGCTTTGACAGCTTCAGCCATTGCGACCCTGATTTCAATGGGTCGTTCAGCACGCAAGCCGCTGACATACTCTTTCTCGTCGACACGCACTTCGCTGAAATAGGAGTGTGCTCTGCCTGATGAATTTCGTTCTCCTCCTCCAGCCACGAAACCATTCTCAATGATCCCCTTCCAATTGCCTTTTGTAGTCCTGTGATAGACTACGCCAGGGCACATCTGCGGTGTGGTAATCTTTTTACCTTTGGCGTTCATCTTCTGGATGGCTGCTGCTCCAGACAGAGCATAGATTTCCACCGCATTGAACGTGTCCTCGGCCGAGGCGGCATCCATGGCACGTTTCGTGTGCCCCTGCACTGCACGGATCCTGATGGGCCAGTAGGCTAACCCTTTACGGGTTGCCTTCTGGTATCCGGCAATGCACTGGAACTCAAAACGGCACTTGCTGTCCCAGTAGAGAAGGGAAATGAGCTCTTCAACCGTCATTCGGGGTAACTTGGCTGGCAGCATTTGATTGAACATTCGA